TCTGAGTGGTCTTCCTGGGAAGAGGGCTCTCGGAACTGTGGTCAGGGTAACAGAACTAGGGTGCGGACTTGTAGTAATCCTGCCCAGCATGGGGGCAGAGCATGTGAGGGCAAAGCAGTGGAGGCCATCATGTGTAGTATAAGGCCGTGCCCAGGTGAGTGGAGGAACATACCTTCTCCTGCTTATGCATGGACACATCTTGTCTTTATCAGTCTGACTGGCTTATCTGTCAGTGGCAGGGAACTGGGGTGCCTGGTTGCCTTGGAGCCCTTGTAGTGAAACATGTGGCAAAGGGATGCAGACTAGGCTGAGACTCTGCAACAACCCTCCACCCTCATTTGAAGGACCATCATGTGAAGGACCTGACACACAGACGCAAGTGTGCAGTGAGAGGAACTGCCCTGGTAAGCATCCTGGTCAAAGTAATAATAGATAAAGGTAAATAAATAAATGGTGACAGAATTAAATTTTTTGGCTGAACAGTATCTTTAATATTCTTCCCAAATTAGTCTTTCTTCTGAAAGATCTTGGTACTAGATTAACTTTATACACATCCATTATTTCATGATTAATCAAATCCAGGTTTAACAAGCATTGGCTTATCTTATCTTCCCTTCTTCAACAGTGGATGGCAAGTGGTCATCCTGGGTAAGTTGGGGGGCATGTAGTGTTTCTTGCGGAGGCGGTACTAGGCAAAGGACACGTATCTGTGCAAGTCCTGCCCCCCAGCATGGGGGACGGCAATGTGAGGGAAATGACATCCACATTGATTTCTGCAACAGTGAACCCTGTCCAAGTGAGTAAACACCAGTGTTGGGCTAGTTACTCAAAGAATGTAATATATTACTCATTACTAGTTACTCCTTTCAAAAGTAATATTGTTACTTTACTTATTACTTTCTGGCAACAGTAATTAGTTACACTAGTTACATTACTTTTTCTTCATGCCCCACATAAGTTGTAACTGTGTATGTTCCACATAAAATTCTTCTAGAATGTT